ATGATAACACATACATCCCCCCCCCCCCAGCATCCAAAATAAAGAGAACATTTTAAAATTTACCAACCTGGTGACTGGGGAGCTCCTATAGCTAGCTCTAATGTGACTGGGTCTACAGCATATAATAACTGGCTATGCTTCCCTCAGTGTGGCACAATGGGGAATTTCACATTACCCAGTTTCACCCGGTTTCAAGCAGGTAATGATCCATTTTGAAGTGGACCAGTACAGGGCTGCCATTTCACACAGGGCTTTCCCCTACCGGAAAAGAGCCAGATCAGAAGCGGTTTGGCATTTCAGACTGCACCGCTTTGTTTTCCCGCCGTTCTCCACCTGCGCGGGTGATTTTTTTAAAAGTTCGATTTATAGCACTATAGCGCTATAACGCAACAGTGGTATAGCAACCCTGCCCCCTGGAAACAATTACCCCATTGGACAGCGGCTTCCAGCAGGACATCAGGGCATCACCGATTGGTAAGAGCGATGTTGCTACCCTGGAAACAAGTGGCAGGCTGGTCTGGGCAGAGTGGTTTTGTATGACTGTGTGAGAGGCTACTGATCATCATGGTCTCCATAACTACCTTGCTGCAACTGATCCCGGAGGTGTTTCAGGTGATGATCAGCAGCACAGTAGCTTTGACTGAGGTGCTTACACACTACCTTCATCTGTTTAGGAGGAGGGGAGGAGGAGAACTGACGTGCATGTCTTGAGCCATGCACCCTCCAGGTACAATCGGAGGGTATCTGTCAGGGCATGGGCACCTATCATTGCTTCCCCTAAAGTCCCTCGATGCTGGTGGGTGAAAGGAGTGAGGACTGGTGGAACAACACTGTGATGGGCACATGGATCAATGAGGACTGGCTGAAGAATTTCCAGATGTCTAGGGCAACCTTTTTCGGACTAACTGGCACCCTGAGGCACCGTCTGGAGCGTCAGAACACACAGATTAGGCCATCCATTCCAGTGGAGAAAAGACTGGCCATCACCCTGTGGTACCTGGCAAATCAGGAATGTTTCCGGGAACTCAGACATCTGCTCGGTGTGGGCCTGTCAACAGCATTCATTATTATGAAGGAGGGGTGCCGAGCGATTCTGGAGGAACAGAATCAGTGAGTACAGATTTTGGACCAGTGAGTACAGATTCTGTATTTTCAGGAGTTCCATGGGGTTCATTTTACACAGATGCTTGTCAAGGGTCTTTTGTAGGTTCAGGGATAACCAAAGGGGCAGGGGAAAGGAAATAACTGCACTGGCGATGGTCTTGTAGTTCCAGGAGAACAACACTGTGATTTGGGTTCCATAGATTAAGTAGCCGTAGGTAACTCCCTGCTGTTTCTATGGATAATTACTCTCACTATTCTGTAATGGCATTTATGCTACTGCAGTGCAGAAATGTGTCATCTACCTATTTTTTATCTTTTACAGAAACTTGTTTTCTGGTCCATATTGAATTTATATTTTGTATCCCTTCTGATGGTGTCTACATGACTGCATTATATTTTTATAGCCATCTTACCACTCAGTTGTTTGACCTCTGAGGAAGGGATACATGCGATGGCTACATCTGCCCCCTGGAAACAATTACCCCATTGGACAGTGGCTTCCAGCGGGACATCAGGGCATCACCGATTGGTGACAGCAAAGTTGCTAACCCTTCCATGCCCAGAGACAAGTCAGGGGAAGGTGAAGGGGTTGTCAGTTTGCCCCCTGGAAACAAGTGGCAGGCTGGTCTGGATAGAGTGGTTTTGTTTGACTGTGTGAGAGGCTACTGATCATCATGGTCTCAATAACTACCGTGCTGCAACTGATCCTGGAGGTGTTGCAGATGATGATCAGCAGCACAGTAGCCTTGACTGAGGTGCTTACACACTACATCTGTGAATGGAGTGACAATCCCTCCTCTGATGCTAGCCAATGGGGGTTATCCCATCAGACGGTGGCTTATGACACCATTCAGAACCCCCACTGAGTGGATGGAGAAACTTTTTAATAAGCGGCACGCAAGAGCACGTGTCGTGGTGGAGCGTGCATTTGGAAGACTGAAATCTAGATGGAGATGCCTCAGTAAAAGAATACGCCTCCAGGAGGAGGACTTTACCCCCATCACTGTAGCCTGTGTTGTGCTCCACAATATTTGTGAAGAAAAGGGACACCTTGCAGAGCCCCTGGGGTCAGGGGACATTCGAGTACTACCTGTACCCCCTCCTGATCGCAGACACACAGCATAGGGTCAAGGGGTGTGGGCTGCATTGATGCCTGTGGTTTGTAACAATGAATAAAGAGCAGGCTCCTTTTGCCTTCTTGTTTAGCAATCATAACACTCAGATTCTCTAGCGTTGTCTCAATTCTGCCCTGCTAACAATCTCTGGTTCTCTGGTCATTCCTGCCCAAAATAATGGGGCAGGGGGTTGGGGAGGGGGTTATCAGATTACACTCCTCCTAGGAAATCATAGCAGAGATGCAAGAGCAGAGATTGCACAGCAAAGGTTTAAACATATCAAGGGGATATATATCACTTACTGAC